ATTGCAGGGTTTGGGAACGGTCCGTTGGAAGGGGGGGGCGGGGGGGGTGCCCAGCGCTAAGTTTTAGGGACCGGTGAAAGATTGGGGCGTTACCGCGTGGTGTCATCTCTGACGTCACCCAGCCCTGCCCTGCCCCGCGCACAGCCCGCACCCCGCAAACACCGCGGGGGGGGGGGCACCGACAGCCTCCGGGGGCTGCTCACGGAGAGCGGATGGTGCCTGTGGCCCCCGCGTCCCCGGGGATCCCGCGTCCCGGTGCTGCCGCGTCCCGGGGATCCCGCGTCCGGTGCCCCTGCGTCCCAGGGCTCCCGCATCCCAGTGCCCCTGCGTCCCAGTGCCTCCTCATCCCCGTGCTCCTGTGTCCTGGGTCTCCCACATCCCAGTGCTCCCACGCCCTGGGGCTCCTGCATCCCAGTACCCCCTCATCCCTGTGCCCTTGCATCCCAGTACCCCCTCATCCCGTGCCCTGGGCTCCCACATCCCAGTGCCCTGGTGTCCTGAGGCTCCCACATCCCAGTGCTCTCACATCCTGGGGCTCCTACGTCCCAGTACACTTGCATCCGAGGGCTCCTGCATCCCAGTAACCCCTCATCCCGGTGCCCCTGTGTCCTGGGGCTCCCACATCCCAGTGCTCCCACATCCTGGGGCTCCTACATCCCAGTACATTTGCATTCCAGGGCTCCTGCATCTCAGTGCCCCTTATCCCAGTGCCCCTGCATCCCAGTACCCCCTCATCCCAGGGCTCCCATATCCCAGTACCCCAGCATCCTGGGGTTCCCACATCCCAGTACCCCAGCACCCTGGAGTTCCTGCATCCCAGTACCCCAGCATCCTGGGGTTCCCACATCCCAGTGTCCCTTTTCCCAGAGCTCCAGCAGCACTGCCATGGCCTTCAGCCCCAGAAGGGCCCTGCCCGGAGCCGGTGATGGCGTTGCCCCCCTGTTCCTACACGTTCCACTCAGCGCTCGAGCGGCGCTTTGCAGCGTCAGGCGGCCGCGGCGCTGGGGCTGCCAAGCGTTATTGTAATTACATAAGGTGAAGGCAATCAGTGTCACCCAAATGAAGAAGCACCGAGCGGGAGTGTGGGCCGCTCGCCCGACGGGCCCAGCCGCCTCGGCCTACATTGTCAGAAACATCCACTCATTTTGAGCACCTGAGCTGGCCCCGCAGCGAGTGCCCCCTGACTGAACCCCCCCAGCTCAGTGGCCGTGCCCGCAGAGCTATCTGGGGGTCAGCAATTATTTCAAGCTCAAGGATTATAACTTTTTTCCTGGGGGTGGGGACAGCATGTAAGTGTAGTTTCCAGCAGTCACTAATGAACAAGGAGTAAATTAGAGGTGGTGCAGGTGGCTGGTAGGTCAGGCCTGCTGGAGAAAGAGTCTTCTTCATGTTCTGATGCAGAGCACCCTAAAAATGTGATGACACCCCCTTTTCTGGAGGTGCCCAAGGCCAGGCTGGACAGGACTGAGAGCCACCTGGGCTGGTGGGAGGTGTCCCTGCCCAGGGCCGGGGGTGGCACTGGGTGATATTTAAGGTCCCTTAACTGTTTTCTGATTCTACTGAGTTTTTTTAGTCATGAAGGGCTGAATTCAGGCTCAGCAGTGTGGCGGGGCAGGGGGGGGGGTCTCTGTGCCCCTCATCAGAGGGGGTCCTCAAGAGGCAGGGAAGCCCCCTCCTGCTCCGGCCGGGACAGGAGCCAGGCTGGCCCTGGCCCAGTGGGATGAGCGGTGCCGGTGTGCAAAGTAAACGGATGGGGGGATTAAAGAACGGTCCTTTTCTCCCCCCTCTGAGCCTCCTTCAGATCTTAGCTATTTCTTGTAATAATCACCGGGAAATTACTCGTCAGGAGTGCGGTTCCTGGGGTTATATTACCCCTTTAATCTCTCTGACCGCGGTGCCGAATTTTAAAGGGGTTCCAGGAAGAACAAGCACGAGACAGATTTTGCTGATGGAGAGAGGGAACTTCAGTGGAGCTGATTATAGCTCAGGGAAAAAAAAATAAATTTGGATTTCTATATATTAAAACCAAATCTCCGCTGTTATCCCTTACATCGGGGAAAATTACAGGTCAAATGGCTTTTGAAAGACTTTATCAGTACTTTCTCTTTTCCGCCTTTCCCAGAGCCGTGGCTGGGTTCAGGCAGGTGACCGTTTTCCATCTATTCAGGCTTTTTTGCTATTTCTCCTGCACACGCTGCTGAAATTTACAAATCCAGCTCCTTTTCCACCACCCTGCCATGACCAGGTTTGTTTTTGCTGGGGGTGAGGTTTACAAACCCGAGCAGCTGATGTACCTACATTAAACCAGGGGCAGCGCTGCCCTGTTTCTGTCCCCAAACCCTCCGAGGTCAGCTTAGCCCCAAAAATGGGACTGACCCATATTCTGGTGAAGAAAAGCCACAACCACTTCACCAGGGATGCCCTGGGGGGTGCTCAGTGCCTGCACCCCACGGGTGACAAACCAGGACCCGCTGTCCCGCTCCTGGGAGCCGGCAGCAGACAGCACCCGTCCCCAGAGGTGCTGCTCCAGCCCCAATCCCCAGCCTTTTCCCCAAACCGGGGCGGGTTTGCAGCTCTGCCCTGTCCTCTCCTCCTCTCCGAGCTCTAATGCTCATGCTAAAAATCAGAACTCCCAGCAGACTTTGGGCAGCAGCTAATGAGCTATGGAGCTGACACCGGCAACTGCCGGCCGGTGGTACCCGTCTCCCCAGCCACACAATTAAAAGTTGGAGCGTTTATCCCAATAACAAGGGAAGTTACTGCTGTCGATAAAAACCAACCCAGGCTCTAGACGGTAGCTCTGTAGACGGAATTCGGGAAGACCACGTTTGTCCATGTACTCCTGTAGCACCCACCTCTCATTAACAGGTGAGTTAACATTAACACCTCATTAACAGGTGTTAGTCCTACTGATTCCCTGCCCAGTCCTCCCTGCTCCACAGCCCGGAGATGAGGCGCTGGCTTTGTTGAGATAAACACTTACAAGGCCTCAGTAACACGGGACTCCAAACCTCCGTGAAGACCCATGAGTCCAGAGAGCCCCATTTCTGAAATAAATAGCTCCTGGGCTCCTAAACCAGCTGGGGCTTTTGCAAACCCTGTGCCAGGTGAGGAAGCTGGGCTAGGAGATGCCCTGGTGGCCCTGTTGCAGTGTGTGCCCCAGCCCCTTGGACATTTGTCTGTGCCATGCGGCGATGCCGAACGGCTGCATCCGACTCCCGCTGCTGGGAGAATGAGTCCATCTATCTGGGGCTGGAGAAATCTGCATTTATGCTTTGTATGCTCTATAAATTCAGTGTCGTAATAAAAAGGGTCTAAATCTTTGCTGAATAATTCATTTTCGTGCATAGGGAAGGAATAATGACCTATATTACATTCCATCTATCATTTAGTAAGTTCCCGAGATTGATCGGCCGGTGGGTTTCGGAAGTCCCCGATGACTAACCGTGCTCTGCGGACTGGCCTGCAGGCTGCCCAGATGTGGCTTCACCTGACAGACATTATTTAGATGGCATTACGGAGGGGGGATACACGGGGGAGCCGCCAGGAAATCAAAGATCATTTAAAATGCA